ATCGCGGGATTCACGGGATTCGTGCTCGTGCACATGTTGCTAATAAACTGGATGTGATTTAAGTTCAGTTGCATTGAAAGTCTCCGTGTGGCCGGTAGTGAATGCTCGCTCTTGAGAGCACGCACACGAGCACGAGCACTCTTGTTGCATTCTGAAACATCACCGCTAGAGGCCGCTAAAAACTCCATAGAGTACCTTTAAGTATTTCTACCTAGAAAAGGAAATGAATTTAACTGAATTGTTTCTTTGGTAATTTACCTCAAAGACTTCTAACGTTTGTTCGAACATAAGGCCACTCACCAAACGCAGGCTTTCTCAGCAACACAAAAAGAACCATATACACTTGCAAGTTTGATAATTTCTTTATCAAGCTTTCAGAGCATTAAGATTGTGTTTTTCTGTGTTGTACAAAAGGGTTTAAACTGTCTAGGTGAATTATGCCAAACTTCTCACTCTCTCTACCTCTCTCTCTCTCTCTCTCTCTACCTCTCTCTCGCTCTCTCTCTCCCACTCTTACTTTCACTTTTTAAACTCCTCTCCGTGTTTGTTCGTTATCTGTTGTATATCCCATGTAACCTTAGTATACTTAGTCTGCCTTTATTAAATTCATTTATATTCATTGATTGATTCATGTCTTTTGCCCATATACTGGTCACTAAAATGTACGATCTTGGCTACAAAGCTTTAAAAGTATAAAAGTACTTTAACTAACGTTAGCAGGCTATCTTTGTGAAAACAGGTAGATTATCTTCATGGCCAGAAATTTCCTTTCCGGTCTCTGAAATTATTTTCTGTATGAGAATCGATAAAGATCGCATGATTACTTGGCTGTGCGGATGTATTTGAGGTTTCGATGGTCAGTCCAGACGACGAACGGGACAGAAGATCCCTTTAGTCAATGCCGCCACTCACCCAGTGCTAGACCAATGGAGTTCGCGATTACCCACATCATAATTTTGCTCGGAAGGTGAGAGACGGTGGGAAAAGGAGGCGCAAGGGTTTATCCTCCTATCAGCGGATGACCGCTGCGAGAGGATAGCTCTCACACCCACCTCTGAGGCATCGACCTTCACTATAAAAGGCTTTGAAACGTAAGGGGTGACGAGAATGTGTGTGGAGGTGAACAGTGTTTTCAGATGGTCGAAAGCGGTCTGCGCAGCGTCACTCCAAACAAAACAAGACTTGGTAGAAGTTAACACAGTAAGGGGGGGCAGCTACTTGACTGAAGTTCTTGACTGAAATCGGTGATAAAAATTGAAACGCTGCAGCGAGACGTGAGAATCGGGAGTGGGCCAGTCAGTGACAGCGCGGACTTTGGCAGGATCCATACTGAGACCCTGGGCGGAGATTATAAAACCGAGGAAAGAAACGGATTGGGCGTGGACCATACACTTCTCAGCCTTGACAAATAATGTGTTCCCAAAGAGTCGTTGAAGAACACGACGGACGTGCTGAATGTGAACCTGGACAGCGCAGTCTCATCCCAAGACGTCATATAACTGACGTTTTGGGACGTCTTTTGACCATTCGTCAATATCCGCCTTTTTAGGGCCCCCTTAAACGTTGGTAGATGAGGTTATCGGATCCTAACTCTACCCCAGACCTAAACCTACCCCGTCACCTAACTGACGTTAAAGGTAAAGCGTCAGTTGTATGACAGCCCGAGATCGCCATCTACCGACGTTTAAGGGGGCCCTAAAAAGGCGGATATTGACGTATGGTCAAAAGACGTCAGTTATATGACGACTTGGGATGAGACTGTGTTGACCTGGAGAGAAGGTGAAAAAAAAAAGATATCGTCGAGATGGACAAATACAAAAATATTCAACATGTCACGCAGAACATCATTGACTAGGGCTTGAAAAACGGTGGGGGTGTTGACCAGCCTGAAAGGTAAAACCCTGTATTCAAATTTACCCCGGGAGAAGCTCTATGCTGCAATCATAAGGGCGATGAGGAGGAAGGGATGCGGCTCAGGAACGGCTGATGACCACTCGCAGATCGAGATATTCCTCAGGGACCCCGGACAAATCACCCGGATCCTCCTGAAAAACAGAGACAGGAGACACAGGAAAAACAGCAGACACTTAACATGACAAATTCCTGGACAAAATAATACTTCCGGACCAATTAATCTGCGGGTTATGTTCTACAGCCACGGGTGACCCAGGACAACAGGAATATTGGGTGATCGAAAGACAACAAAGGAAATAGTCTCACGGTGATTACCGGAAACGGTTAGACTCAAAGGGACGGTGGCTCGATGAACCCTGGTGAGGACCCTCTGTCCAAGGCAAACACCACGGTGGGGTCTTGAAGATCGACAAGAGGGATTCAAAGCTCAAGAGAGCAGGACTCATCCACGAAATTCCCCTCAGCACCAGAGCCAATAAGAGCCTGACAGGTCACTCTGGAGTTGGACCAGCGGAGGTGAACCAGAAAAGTAGTCCGTCATGGATGTGGAGGGTGAAGAGAGGAAGCGCTCACCAGTAACCCTCTCTCTACTGGTGAGCTTTGACTTTTAAATGGCAGGCGGTAGCGAAATGACCGTCTGCACCACAGTACAGACTAGGGTTGGGTATCGAGAATCGAGTATCGATTGGAACCGAGACTAACTTTTCGTTTTTCCCGGAATCGTTCAAAAGTTGAAATTTCGATTCCTAGTTTCGATATTCACAGTCCGCCGAGCGGAAGAAGAAACCGCTGAACAACACCAATGAAGAAGCGTCTACCGGAAGTGTTGGCATAACCACGCGAGTCGAACATGAGTAGCTTACGTTGGCGATCCAAAGTGTGGCTTCACTTTTCTAAAAATAACGAAATCTCGGCAAAATGCAAAATTTGTGACAAAAGGAGTATTTCCTTCAGAAAGGATTATTTTCTTCAGAAAGGCCGTTGGTTAGCTTAACTTTTTTGACCCTGCCTCTTAAAAGAATCGGAATCGAGAATCGTTAGGAACCGGAATCGAAACAAGGAATCGGAATCGGAATCAGAATCGTTCAAATTCAAACGATACCCAACCCTAGTACAGACACAGTCGGTTGATGATTCGATGCTGGCGTTCGGCAGCCGGCACCAAGCTGCATTGGCTCCTGATCAGCAGAGGAGGAACCTCCCGTAGCTGGCGGGAAGGCGGAAGAGACAGGAGCGTGGGCACGGCGTCGCAGATCAAACCGTTTCTCCACTCTCAAAGCTAAGTCGATCAGGGGGTCGAGAAATAAAGGAATCTCTCGAGCCAGAACCTCATCCCTGATCCCTGCGTTCAGGCCCTCAACAAAACGCACTACCAGCACAGGCACGATCCAGTCACAAGAAGTAGAGAGAGTGCGAAAAATCCACAGAGAAGTCACAACCGTGCGTCTTCCCGGGCGTAGAGAGGATAACAGACGAGAAATACGGTCAAAGACTCTCAGCATCTCCTCCTTGAAAAGGGAATAGTGATTAAGGCAGGCTCCACTCCACTGTTCCCCACTCACGAGCCCGTCCCTTGAGAAGAGAGATGATGTGTGCGACAGCTCTCCTTAGCATAGGTGTGGGGCTGAAGTGAGAAGACAACTTCACACTAAGTAAGGAAAGGCAAACACTCAGACGGCTCACCCGCATAGCAGGGGGGGTTGTTCACACAAGGCTCAAGTGTGGTGGTGTCTGATGGTCTGGAGGAGTCTGCCCGGAGAAGGAGAAACTGCTCGGTAAGATCAGACATCGGGAAGCCAGCGTTTTGACGGTTTGGTGGGAAGCCACAAGATCCTCTTCATGTCTCCCCAGCATAGCTCCCTGGATCTCAAACACATTCTGAATGGGGCGTTCATCCACCGGATTAGGTGTTTTGTAGCTTACGTGACGGTCAACAATAATCTGACAAAAATGGAGGAAAAGAGAGACTAGAAATAGAGAGCGGTTAATGACATGCGATAGCGAGCAGGTGCGGGAATGAGCGAACGAGAACCAACTGAAGAAGATGAGTAATGGGCTATATGCACGCATAAGTTCCGCATTTGACGCAAGGATGCTCGTCCATTTCCGGTTGTGTAGATTAAAGTGGAGGAAAACCGGAGAAAACGGGATTATGGCAGAGTCTTCAATATTTACTGTCCTCCCGTCTTTGACACGAAACGTACATACGTTTAGATGTAATTTTATATATAGTTATGTTTATTTAATATAATTTTAAAAAGAAGCATAAACACAACGAGGGGTGTCTGTTTTATCTGTTTTTGTGACCAACGTTTCTTTAGTATAACAATGGAGTATAAAATTCAATATAAATTCTCAGTGTTGCATTGGACTCTACGATTGGCGGAAGTTATCGAGCATTATTACATCTTCACCGGAAATACCGCCGTGCATAGAGCCCATTAAGAGCGAGAAAGGGAAAAGAAACGAGAGCGAACAGAAGAAGATGGCGACAAATACCCACAAAAGAGAGGGAAGAACCGGGATCATGACAATTAGCCTGCTGGACAAGCAGATCATCAGATCACAAACTGATTCACAGGGATATCGTCGCAGTAAACACATGATAGACAATAATTGACATATTAATATTTAATTATAATCTGTTTGATTAAATATTGATATACAATTGAGCTCATTTTACCTGTCTGTAAAACGTGACCTATGCAAGTAATCACAATCAGTTTGTGGTTGATTGCCGAGGTACACATGCATGCAGATACAGGTAACATTTCATCCCGTCTCGGGAGATTTAATAACATGTAAGGCTGATCTGGTCCAAACCTGTATGAATAATTATTAAATATCAATTATTAATTATTATATGCAAATTCACCATATCGTATCAGGTCAGAATCTTTAAACTGACTTAAAGTTTTGACCAGTCTTAAAGAAAAAAAAAGATGACTAACTTGTAAGACAAGTTTCAGCGGTTTATGCAACCAGTCCCAGAAGGTCATCAGAAACTCCACCCTCTTAATCTACCAGGAAGTGACTAGTCTTCATTTCTAACTTTCATTTTTACTGAAAGCTGAAAGCAGGAAGTGACTAGTCATTATTTCTAACTTTCATTTTTACTGAAAGCTGAAACGAGTTGTGAAGAACAGAGGGAGACACTTTATATTAGAGCATTTTTGTTTATTTCTGATTGAACCTCGATGAGATTTTGATTGCAATAGTTCTTTACTCTTTAAACCAAAGTTCAGAAAGTGAAAGTAAATTGTAGATTTTTACAAGACGAGGAAATGGATTCAAAATCTGTGGAAGAGCTTTCTTGTCCTGTTTGCTATGAAATCTTCAAGGCTCCTGTTTTTCTGTCCTGTAGTCACAGTTTCTGTAAAGAGTGTCTACAACAGTTCTGGAGAACTAAGAAAACTCAGGAGTGTCCTGTCTGCAGGAGAAGATCCTCAAGAGATGAACCTCCAGTTAATCTCACATTAAAAAACTTGTGTGAGTCGTTTCTGGAGAGAAATGAGAAACGTTCATCAGGATCTGAGGAGATCTGCAGTTTACACAGTGAGAAACTCAAACTCTTCTGTCTGGAGGACAAACAGCCTGTGTGTATAATTTGCAGAGACTCAGAAACACACACCAATCACACATTCAGACCCATCAGTGAAGTGGTTTCCTCTTACAAGGTAAGACACATCTCTCATTTCATATGCTGAATACAGTGCTAAACATAGAAACATTATTATTATACAATAGACCAGTGTTTATATTTGCTCAGACTAAATCTCTATGATTTATTAATGATGTAAAATTCTGCACTAATCTCCGACCCTCTGATGTTCAAATCTTCTTTACTGTAACAGCATTGGCACAAAACGTGTTATGAAAAATTTGAAATATCATGGGTTAATATTATTATTTTTTCAATAATAATGTGATTTAAAACACACCAAAACGTGTATGATACCAACAAACTTTCACTTTCTGTATTTGTTTTGCACAACCATACATTTAAAATTGCATGGATATAATAATTAAGAATTGGCCATTGCAAAAAAAAAAAAAAAAAAGACATTTGTTTGATGAAAACAGGATTTCTTGATGTTCATGCTTTAAAAATGAAATAATTAAAAATATATGTCCTGCAATTGTCAAGCACAAACACTTCCCCCATTCATCATATAAATAAAAATACAATATTTAAACCTCTTATAGCTGCATAAGTTTCACAGATTTTCACTTTAATCTGCAGGAGGAATTTAATACAGCACTGACGTCCTTACAAAACAAGCTCAAACATGGAGAAGAAGTGAAGAAGAAGTGTGATGAAACAATTGAACACATCACGGTGAGGATATAAAGAGATAAACACTCAACATTCACACACACAGTTTATTATTGACATTAGTGGAGTGTGTGTTCATACAGAGATGACTGAAGTGAATGTGATGTGATTTCAGTCTCAAGCTGAGCACACAGAGCGTCAGATTAAAGAAGAGTTTGAGAAGCTTCATCAGTTTCTCAGAGACGAAGAAGAAGCTACAATCACTGCACTGAGGGAGGAAGAGGAGCAGAAGAAGCAGAGGATGAAGGAGAAGCTGGAGGAGATGAACACACACATCTCAGCTCTTTCACACACACTCAGAGACATGGAGGAGATGATGAAAGACAATGACGTCTCGTTTCTAAAGGTGACAAATCAATCTGGCTTCATTCTCTGTGCATAAAACAACTTGTATAGAGAGACTCATTGACAGTGAGAGTGTTTGATAAGATATTAAAATGTTTTCCATCTCTATATTTTCCAGAACTATAAAGTCTGGATGGAAAGGTAAGTGAGCTGCTCGTATCTCTTCTCTCAGTGGATCTGAACTCAAATTCACTGCAGTTCTGACTCCTGAATGTTCCTCAGAGTCCAGATCTCACAGCCGGATCCACGGATGAGTTCTGGAGCTTTGATTCATGTGTCGCGTTATCTGGGTAACCTGCCGTTCAGAGTCTGGAAGAAGATGCTGGAAACTGTCCAACACAGTGAGTCTCGCAGATTTGACACAGAGCAGAAGATAGATCAGATATAAACACACACAACAACATTAATATATATATATATATATATATATATATATATACTGTCTGTATGTATGTTAAAAATCACTTGAATTACTGAAGTGTAGCCTATTAAAGTAAATTAAGAGATCATTGTTATGATAGCATGATTTATGATTTATTTCAACAAAGTCTTTATTTTGTGTTTTAATTTTCTATAATCATCATTCAGTATTGATCCTGTAATCTGATGTTTTTCTCTTTACAGCTCCGTTGACTCTGGATCCAAACACAGCACATCCTCATCTCACACTCTCTGCTGATCTGACCAGTGTGTCGCTCAGTGATGAAGATAAAACACTTCCTGATAATCCAGAGAGGTTTGACTTTTATGCATGTGTCCTGGGATCTGAGGGCTTTAACTCAGGAACACACTGCTGGGATGTGGAGGTTGGAGACAATACAGAGTGGATTCTTGGAATAACCACAGCATCAAACCAAAGGAAGGGACTGGATTTCTTTGACTCTAATGTCTGGCGTGTGGGTTACATAAACAGTGAATATATCTCACTATCCCCAGAGCAACCCATCACTGTCTTCACTGTTAAACAGAAGCTCCAGCGTGTGAGAGTTCAGCTGGACTATGACAGAGGAACAGTGTCATTCTCTGATCCTGTAACTAACACACATTTACTCACATTCAGGACATCCTTCACAGAAACTGTCTTTCCATTATTAAGTACTGGCTGCACAACTCCTCTGAGGATCTTACCAGTTAAACTGTTTATTACAGCAGAAAATCACAGTTAAATCTGCTTCTGCTTCTAGATTAATACAAATTATGCTTCAATAATAACACTGTAATCAAAGGGTCTGATTGATCAATTTAACATTTAGAGCCAATTTAACCCTTGTGACTCCTTAAGGACTTTTTTTCTCGATTTGATTTTTTTGGATTATGTTTACTTTGTTAATGACAACTGCGCCAATGTTGCATATTTTATTGCGTATATTATTCATATTTCCCCCTCATTTCCTTTCATAAATCACTTACACTCAAGTTTGGACCTTAAGGACAAAAATGTCCCCATTGAAACTCATTAAAACAATTCAGTTTTTTTTCCCGCCGCCATTTAACTATGAAATGATTCAGTCTTTGTTCAGGCTTTAAGGCTTTTTTCCTGTTTTCTGCTTCTGCATATTAGGGTCAATTGGATAAAATATTGTGTAATAACTGTGTGTATGTACTAAAATAATAGTGTTGGTGATTGTAATATTTTATCAAGAAAATTTCAAGTCTTACAATAATTAAACTGTTTAAATTCACATTTACATTTTACATTTCCGTGTGGCCGGTAGTGAATGCTCGCTCTTGAGAGCACGCACACGAGCACGAGCACTCTTGTTGCATTCTGAAACATCACCGCTAGAGGCCGCTAAAAACTCCATAGAGTACCTTTAAGTATTTCTACCTAGAAAAGGAAATGAATTTGACTGAATTGTTTCTTTGGTAATTTACCTCAAAAACTTCTAACGTTTGTTCGAACATAAGGCCACTCACCAAACGCAGGCTTTCTCAGCAACACAAAAAGAACCATATACACTTGCAAGTTTGATCATTTCTTTATCAAGCTTTCAGAGCATTAAGATTGTGTTTTTCTGTGTTGTACAAAAGGGTTTAAACTGTCTAGGTGAATTGTGCCAAACTTCTCACTCTCTCTACCTCTCTCTCGCTCTCTCTCTCCCACTCTTACTTTCACTTTTAAAACTTTGTTCGTTCTTTGGTTTGTTCGTTATCTGTTGTATATCCCATGTAACCTTAGTATACTTATTCTGCCTTTATCAAATTCATTTATATTCATTGATTGATTCATGTCTCTTGCTCATATACTGGTCACTAAAATGTACGATCTTGGCTACGAAGCTTTAAAAGTATAAAAGTACTTTAACTAACGTTAGCAGGCTATCTTTGTGAAAACAGGTAGATTATCTTCACGGCCAGAAATTTCCTTTCCTGTCTCTGAAATTATTTTCTGTATGAGAATCGATAAAGATCGCATGATTACTTGGCTGTGCGGATGTATTTGAGGTTTCGATGGTCAGTCCAGACGACGAACGGGAGAGAAGATCAGATTATAAAACCGAGGAAAGAAACGGATTGGACGTGGACCATACACTTCTCAGCCTTGACAAATAATGTATTCTCAAAGACTCGTTGAAGAACACGACGAACGTGCTGAATGTGAACCTGGACAGCGCAGTCTCATCCCAAGACGTCATATAACTGACGTTTTGGGACATCTTTTGACCATTCGTCAATATCCGCCTTTTTAGGGCCCCCTTAAACGTCGGTAGATGAGGTTATGGGATCCTAACTCTACCCCAGACCTAAACTTAACCCTAAACCTAACCCGTCACCTAACTGACGTTAAAGGTAAAGCGTCAGTTGTATGACGGCCCGAGATCGCCATCTACCGACGTTTAAGGGGGCCCTAAAAAGGCGGATATTGACGTATGGTCAAAAGACGTCAGTTATATGACGACTTGGGATGAGACTGTGTTGACCTGGAGAGAAGGTAAAAAAAACAAGACATCGTTGAGATGGACAAATACAAAAGTATTCAACATGTCACGCAGAACATCATTGACTAGGGCTTGAAAAACGGCGGGGGCGTTGACCAGCCTGAACGGTAAAACCCTGTATTCAAATTTACCCCGGGAGAAGCTCTATGCTGCAATCATAAGGGTGATGAGGAGGAAGGGATGCGGCTCAGGAACGGCTGATGACCACTCGCAGATCGAGATACTCCTCAGGGACCCCGGACAAATCACCCGGATCCTCCTGAAAAACAGAGACAGGAGACACAGGAAAAACAGCAGACACTTAACATGACAAATTCCTGGAAAAAAATAGTACTTCCGGACCAATTAATCTGCGGGTTATGTTCTACAGCCACGGGTGACCCAGGACAACAGGAATATTGGGTGAACGAAAGACAACAAAGGAAATAGTCTCACGGTGATTACCGGAAACGGTTAGACTCAAAGGGACGGTGGCTCGATGAACCCTGGTGAGGACCCTCTGTCCAAGGCAAACACCACGGCGGGGTCTTGAAGATCGACAAGAGGGATTCAAAGCTCAAGAGAGCAGGACTCATCCACGAAATTCCCCTCAGCACCAGAGTCAATAAGAGCCTGACAGGTCACTCTGGAGTTGGACCAGCGGAGGTGAACCAGAAAAGTAGTCCGTCATGGATGTGGAGGGTGAAGAGAGGAAGCGCTCACCAGTAACCCTCTCTCTACTGGTGAGCTTTGGCTTTTAAATGGCAGGCGGTAGCGAAATGACCGTCTGCACCACAGTACAGACTAGGGTTGGGCATCGAGAATCGAGTATCGATTGGAACCGAGACTAACTTTTCGTTTTTCCCGGAATCGTTCAAAAGTTGAAATTTCGATTCCTAGTTTCGATATTCACAGTCCGCCGAGCGGAAGAAGAAACCGCTGAACAACACCAATGAAGAAGCGTCTACCGGAAGTGTTGGCATAACCACGCGAGTCGAACATGAGTACCTTACGTTGGCGATCCAAAGTGTGGCTTCACTTTTCTAAAAATAACGAAATCTCGGCAAAATGCAAAATTTGTGACAAAAGGAGTATTTCCTTCAGAAAGGATTATTTTCTTCAGAAAGGCCGTTGGTTAGCTTAACTTTTTTGACCCTGCCTCTTAAAAGAATCGGAATCGAGAATCGTTAGGAACCGGAATCGAAACAAGGAATCGGAATCGGAATCAGAATCGTTCAAATTCAAACGATACCCAACCCTAGTACAGACACAGTCGGTTGATGATTCGATGCTGGCGTTCGGCAGCCAGCACCAAGCTGCATTGGCTCCTGATCAGCCGTAGGTGCAGAGGAGGAACCTCCCGTAGCTGGCGGGAAGGCGGAAGAGACAGGAGCGTGGGCGCAGCATCGCAGATCAAACCGTTTCTCCACTCTCAAAGCTAAGTCGATCAGGGGGTCGAGAAATAAAGGAATCTCTCGAGCCAGAACCTCATCCCTGATCCCTGCGTTCAGGCCCTCAACAAAACGCACTACCAGCACAGGCACGATCCAGTCACAAGAAGTAGAGAGAGTGCGGAAACCCACAGAGAAGTCACAACCGTGCGTCTTCCCGGGCGTAGAGAGGATAACAGACGAGAAGCCTCAGTGCCACGCACGGAGCGGTCAAAGACTCAGCATCTCCTCCTTGAAAAGGGAACAGTGATTAAGGCAGGCTCCACTCCACTGTTCTCCACTCACGAGCCCGTCCCTTGAGAAGAGAGATGATGTGTGCGACAGCTCTCCTTAGCATAGGTGTGGGGCTGAAGCGGGAAGGCAACTTCACACTGGGTAAGGAAAGGCATACACTGCCCGGAGAAGGAGAAAGTAAGATCAGACATCGGGAAGCCAGCGTTTTGACGGTTTGGTGGGAAGCCACAAGATCCTCTTCATGTCTCCTCAGCATAGCTCCCTGGATCTCAAACACATTCTGAATGGGGCGTTCATCCGCCGGATTCATCTTAGGTGGTTTGTAGCTTACGTGACGGTCAACAATAATCTGACAAAAAAGGAGGAAAAGAGAGACTAGAAATAGAGAGCGGTTAATGACATATGATAGCGAGCAGGTGCGGGAAGGAGAACCAACTGAAGAAGATGAGTAATTAAGAGTGAGAAAGGGAAAAGAAACGAGAGCAAACAGCCAGAAGATGGCGACAAATACCCACAAAAGAGAGGGAAGAACCGGGATCATGACAATTAGCTTGCTGGACAAGCAGATCATCAGATCACAAACTGATTCACAGGGATATCGTTGCAGTAAACATATGATAGACAATAATTGACATGTTAATATTTAATTGTAATATGTTTGATTAAATATTGATATACAATTGAGCTCATTTTACCTGTCTGTAAAACGTGACCTATGCAATTAATCACAATCAATTTGTGGTTGATTGCCGAGGTACACATGCATGCAGATGCAGGTAACATTTCATCCCGTCTCGGGAGATTTAATACCATGTAAGGCTGATCTGGTCCAAACCTGTATGAATAATTATTAATTATCAATTATTAATTATTATATGCAAATTCACCATATCGTATCAGGTCAGAATCTTTACACTGACTTAAAGTTTTGACCAGTCTTAAAGAAAAAAAAATTGACGACTAACTTGTAAGACTAGTTTGAGTGGTTTATGCAACCATTCCCAGAAGGTCATCAGAAACTCAACCCTCTTAATTTACCAGGAAGTGACTTTTTACCTTTCATTTTTACTGAAAGCTGAAACGAGTTGTGAAGAACAGAGGAAGATTATACAGATTAAGATTATAGCATTTTTGTTTATTTCTGAATGAAACTGGATGAGATTTTGATTGTAATAGTTCTTTACTCTTTAAACCAAAGATCAGAAACTGAAAGTAAATTGTAGATTTTTACAAGCCGAGGAAATGGATTCAAAATCTGTGGAAGAGCTTTCTTGTCCTGTTTGCTGTGAAATCTTCAAGGTTCCTGTTTTTCTGTCCTGTAGTCACAGTTTCTGTAAAGAGTGTCTTCAACAGTTCTGGAGAACTAAGGAAACTCAGGAGTGTCCTGTCTGCAGGAGAAGATCCTCAAGAGATGAACCTCCAGTTAATCTCACATTAAAAAACTTGTGTGAGTCGTTCCTGAAGGAGAGAAATGAGAAACGTTCATCAGGATCTGAGGAGATCTGCAGTTTACACAGTGAGAAACTCAAACTCTTCTGTCTGGAGCACAAACAGCCTGTGTGTTTAGTGTGTATTAATTCACAAAAACATGACAATCATAAATTCAGACCCATCAGTGAAGTGGTTTCATCATATAAGGTAAGAAACATCTCTCATTTCATATGCTGAATACAGTGCTAAACATAGAAACATTATCATTATACAATAGACCAGTGTTTATATTTGCTCAGACTAAATCTCTATGATTTATTAATGATGTAAAATTCTGCACTAATCTCCGACCCTCTGATGATCAAATCTTCTTGACTGTAACAGCATCGGCACAAAACGTGTTATGAAAAATTTGAAATATCATGGGTTATTATTGTTTTTTCAGTAATAATGTGATTTAAAACACACCAAAACGTGTATGATACCAAGATACTTTCACTTTCTGTATTCGTTTTGCACAACCATGAATTTAAAACTGCATGGATATAATAATTAAGAATTGGCCATTGCAAAAAAAAAAAAGACATTTGTTTGATGAAAACAGGATTTCTTGATGTTCATGTTTTAAAAATGAAATAATTAAAAATA